CGATCGCTCCCAGGCCGAGAAGATACGGTTTGCCAAGTTCAAACGAGATGTTTATTCTGCTCTCCTGCCCCATTTTTGTTCCAAGTCCATTCCCGCAGCATTTAATTGGAATGCCTTAGCTAACCCTCTACGTGATATCTCGCAGTAGATTTCTCACTGCGCCATGGTTATTATCCCACTACGCCGCAAGCCCGTTCAGTATTTCTCGCAGCGGTCGTATCACCGATTTAATTATAGATCAAAGCCCAGTGTCCTCGCCACATCCCCATCACCGCCTTTTCTTCTCCCACTTCATTTAAGCTACAGAGCCTTACTTGCAATCTGAATTCATGCCACTGTTCACTCCCTTCAGTTCAATAACCTTGGTCCTTCTCATTTCCATCTTGGATTAAACGGTGCGTGGCTCCAAATTGGCCGCCCGGCAATTGCATTTCGAACAAGAACCCGCCGCAGAATATAGATACGTTGGTGCTTCTGAACGTTCTTCCCTACCCTCGGCTCATGCGGCATTTCAAAGTGCAAGTGTTCAACTTCACCGTCAATGCGCAATTACAATTCAACCCTTCATTTTTCGTGTCCCAGCTCATTCTGATGCTCTGGAGCCAATTCTGTCTCTCCTGATGCTTCTTGCGGTGGCTTCTCAGACTATAGGGACAGTCAGATTACAATGGGGTATACTCACCACTAACAATTCATCTACAGTATTTTTAACACCCACGGTTGATAACTTCGGCAGCGGCAGTGGCACTCCAATATTCGGAGGGGTGTATAACTCGGCAGTCAGTCATGTCCCCAATGATGAATATCAGAGTTTGGTAGACGCGTCTCCTAGCACGTCCGCACAGGACAGTCAGCACCTTTCAGGCGCAAAAGACAATCCCGTATCGGGATACGGCGCATATGCCGGGACACGTACAGTGTCGCCTCGCATCGAGGTAGAGATGGATGTACCACCAGCATCCGAAGGATCGCGTAGATCCTTCTCGACGGCTACTTCCCAATCTGCCGCTAGAGATCCCCCGAATTCTCCTCTATCTCAACCCATGAGACGCCAACTCAACCAACAACGTCTTGCTCGTAAAACTCTGAAGTCGAAAATCATCAGGAAATCCAAAGCTGCTATCAAAGTCGGTACGCTAAACATGCGGGGCCGGTTCGACCGTGACGGCCAAGATAAATGGCTGCATATAAACCAGATTATACGCGACAAGCGCATTGGCGTGTTAGCTGTGCAAGAAACGCACTTGACTGATTCCGAGCGCGACAATCTAAACACCCTGTTCGAGAAGAAACTCTCCATGATAACTCGTCAAACGAGGAAGATTCGGAGTAGACAAGGCGTAAATTGGTGTATTAGATGCACGGGGTAAGCTCCCGGCACGGAAAATAGACGTAACAGTATATTTTCCGCATTTTTTCGGAGGCCTGATATATAATTCGGATAAAAACTCGACCTCAGCGGAGGCCTGGGTCGAATTCGGATAAATATCGCCCGATCACGCGTTTGGATAAAAAGTGCCCAAACCGGCCAAGTTCCAGACAGGCATTTGGGCTGTTTTTCGGGGGTCCTCCCGACCCCCTGGAATGGTGTGTGTTCTGTTGACATCTTGTAGGATTATGTATGAATAACCACTCATACATTACTGCATGTTTGTCTTTGGTAAACTTGTTCTTCATCATCATGTTGTGGACCACCATAGCAAGTAGCTGCATTTTCAAATTCCTCTACGTTTCCAACACTTATTGAGTCTTCGCCTGAGCACGGGCGTATCTCAGGCCGCAGCTTTCATGGGGTGAGTCAAAGAGAAGGCAGGACCGAGGTGACGTACGCATTACGCAGTTCCTTCTTGCTGTGCGGCCCCTTTCTCCACCTAGGAGATTGAGTTGCATTGCAACTGGAGCACTGGTATGGTTCTGCAGCATTTGAAGGAGGAGGTGTTCTAAGAAACATCCTGGATTTCGCTGGGTGATTATCTACGGCAAGGAAGCCCAAATCGTTGCATGAAAGAGTTATAGTGTGCTCTGTCCCCGCTGGCCGAGTGTGCGTCTCCATGACTAGTTTGTCCTCACCACTGCATCTCAGACTCGGGTCGAGCCATGTGGGATATGGTGGACTGACGTTCAATGCTTGATTTTGGCTTTCGTCAAACCCTGATTTGTCCACCCTTCTGGGTTATTGCATTTAGTATTGAGTATTGATGACCTGTTTAGTGCGCTTACAGAGCCACTCCGGTATTGCTGATGCCTATCTGACTATGAAGGCCCAAGCCATTCTCGATCTCTTCCTCAAAGGCACTTGACAGAACTGCCGCCACAGGTGATTTGGGCTTGTCCCTGCCCGTAGGACCCCTACCCATTGGCGGGCGATTCACTGGAGGAAGATTGAGAGCCTGGCGTAGCCGAGCATTTTCCTCCTCCAGCTCCGAGATACGCTGCTGCAAGGCCTGCGGATGGTGATCATGTGAGAAAAAGAAGGACATTCCGTGAAATACGCCTGCGGACCTCGAGGTGGGCCGCGCGACGAGCTCTGAATGCACGTTGATTATTGCGGGCGGGATTTGGAGGCAGGTTGTCGCTGTGTTTGCGGCCGCGCTTCGAGGACATGAGCGAAAACAAATGACGGGTGGTGTTTGTGTTTGTTTTTCATACATAATGGCACCTGACATCGGGAAAAACCTCCCTATCCTAATTTAGGGGAAATTTGGTTCCCATGCACCAAATTGGGCTTTTGAGCAAAGCTGCGGGAAAAAATATCCCCACAGTGGCGCGCGGCCTTGAGTCAAGACAGCTTTGACTGTATCCTAAATCCTGTGATCTAATTGTCAAGGAGATCCGGTCTTACGGTGAGCATGATCGGAAAGCAGTCGAGAGAACTCTTCTTCGTCGTTGCTGCACACGAACATCTCTAGTGTCAAGCCTCGTTTTCCGACTTCCTGTCGACAAAATCTTTTCCCCACCCACCCACACCTTGACATATTTTTCTCCCTTTGCAGATCCTGGTTGAAAATTCCACCCTGGTCAAATCGATTCCAGTTTAGTTTAGAGGCAGTACGTAGAGTGGGGCATAAGGGGTGGGTTCATTCTCGTGCATCCCCTTCGCCCTACGACCTGGAGATCAGCGGTTTACGGATCGGTCCCCGCTGATCTCTCCATTCCCAAAGAAACATACAGCTGCCTCGAATCGGGTTTAGATTAGTCTCTCGCATCCAGACGCTTCAACAACTTGAGCACATACTTCGCTTGTTGAGGTTTAGATGTGTGATGAAGCAAGGGAACAAGACTTGAAATGAGAGAATTGCTAAGGCAGAGTTACGGTCAGAAAGCGAAAATACGGGGCCGAGGAATATCGAACCCAGGTATCTACTACAGGTAGCCACGCACTACGTTGACACCCGGCTGACAGTCAACAGATATCGCGATTTCTTCCGACAGCCAATTTAAATCCGCGGAACGGGTCTCACCTCACGTTCCACCCCCGAAGATTTCCCAGCGATTCGCCAAGGTTGGCCTTTGAAAATATATTTTTCGCTCTCGGCCCCTTCATGTCTTCCAATTTTATCGCACAATTTTTGGGGATCATGATTGTGGGCTGCCCTGAGTCTCGTGTGATGGCGACGGCTCTCAGGGGCAGACTTTGAATATTTGAACTTCGGAGACTCCCCTGTGCTCGGAGCGAGGTCAAAAAACACTCCGAGGACAATCTTAACAGACAGAATGTTCCGTATTGATCAGGGCTACATTTCCAGTTCCGTTCAGCGTGTTCTGCATTGAAATTGATGCAAACCGGAGGATGCACCGCAAATGATGTTTGCCCTCCAGCGAGGTCAAAAAAACACTCCGAGGACAATCTTAAGAGACAGAACGTTCCGTGTTGAGCAGGGCTATCCAGTTCCGTTGCACGCGCCTCAGGAATCCGCCCAGAACCCATCTTCCGAGCCAAGGCTGAACAATTCCTGCGACACAAAGTACATTGTCTTTCCATTACTAAATCGTCGCTATTTTTATCACCCATTTCTCCTGCCTATTCCAGTTTATGAACCGTTGGATGCAGGATATTGAGGCCTCGGACCTCGGCAAGTACCATAACATTGACGTGGGTGCGTAGTCAGTACATACTACATAAGTGACGACATGACGCGGGCCTCTTGCCACAATGAGCCCCTCGTCACTCAGAATCAAATGGCCGCCAGAAGGAAAATGACACAGTGAGTCTCCACTGGGCCGCACGGTCTACCAGTGGCCGACATTTAATATGGCATGTTCCGCAGCAAGACCATGCAGATACTTCCAGGCTTGGTGCTGCCCCCACAAAGCGCAGGAGGACTGCGCACAGTTACAGTGACCAGGCTTCATATCATCGCCATGTACAGCTCACTCAATTTCGACTCGCATAATGTGGAAACCCGAGAACTCTTGAAATGTACGCAAAGATCCACAAACTACACTCTTCTAATCCATTAGTAGTCATATTATTTAGCACTCCCGCTCCTTCTTCTTCCCCAATGCTATCCCTGGAAGCCGTCCTTGCGACGACTTACGTTTTTCACCATCCACGTGTAACAGAGGCTTGCATTTGTAAAGCGTGACTCGAAGCAATAGTCCTCAATGGCTTGCATTTTGAAACGCATGACATTAGGGTCGTAGTCCTCCTCAACACTGTTTCAATTACAGGGCAGTCCCGGAGCTCATTTCTGGGGTGCGCAAAGCGGGAATAGATAGCCCTGGCCTCTGCGAACACTTCTTGGTTAGAGCTTCAGATAGTAACTCTGAGGTCCTGGGTTCAAATCCTGGTTCAGCCATTCTTTTGCATTTAACAGGTTATGGGCCCCAGCCTTTCCGGTCTTCCTGTTTGGCTTCCTTTGGTGTCATCACCCTGGCTTAGTCATTATTTGGCTTTGCCATCCATTGCAGAGAGAATGGTGCCCCCCTTTGTGTGTTCTCAGGTGTTCAGGAACCGGGGGAGTGTTGAAGGTCCATATGGGAGTTCCCTTGACACTATTGGCAGAATAGCTCAGTTGGTTAGAGCGTCAGATAGTAACTCTGAGGTCCTGGGTTCAAATCCCAGTTCAGCCATTCTTTTGTTTTTAACAAACAGTTGGCATTGCCAACTGTGTTCACTACAACTGCGGCCAGCCTGGTCACACCACCTGGTTTTACCCCAAGTGTACCAAGCAACGACCAAAGGTGCAGCACAGGTGCCATGCACACCATTAAGACCGAAATTAAGCAGGACCCCTGACAATACCTTTGGACCCTAGGGCCCGCGCCGGACAAAAATTTGACATTTTGGCTCGAAAGCCTAGGTTCTGACCGGACAAAAACTAGCCATCTGATGGCTTTTTTGCTGTGCGCAAACGTATGGCTAACGGCTCGTATGGCTTTACACATCCCTGATGACTTTTACTTGTAAATGACATTGAGCTCTAAATACTTCCTAACTCAAGACAAAAAGGCTGGAATGTATGATTTTGGGTTCAAGTGGTCACCTGGCCACTGAAGCTCGATGCCAGCTGAAATGTAGAGATGATACATGGTCAAAATGAAAGCTAGAACGGTCAGATGAAACACAGTTTCATGTGTTATATGAGCCATTAGCCATGTGGTCCGCACAGCAAAAAAGCCATCAGATGACTTGTATGGCTTGTGCGCAACCAGGCTAATTATTTTCCGCCTATGGCTCAGCCGTACCAGCTGTTCTGCGCCCCTACGACCAATCTGAGCCCTCGGAGATAGGCCTACAGCATGTCTAGTATGCACATAAGCATGTCGAGAGCAAGGTAGAAGGGTGTTGTCGCCTATGGCGTGCGTGACAGAACATGGTGTGACCTAGGGATCGTCACCGTACCCGTCCAGGACGGTTAGGCGGACGGACGGACAGACAAGCGTCCCGTCCCTCCCTACGTAATGCTTACATATCCGTCCCCATAAGGGAATTTCCCATGATCTCATTGACGGCTTGTCGGGCAAAATTCATTCGGAAAGGTGTAACAGCTCCTGTATCTACCCGGGGGCTAGTATATTTGCTGGAATCGAAGTTGGAAAGGGTCACGTTCAATTTCTTCTGGTGATCAACGCTTTCGACATGGAACGTCCAGTTTGCTTCTCCCCCCTTCCCGAAGTTGATCCACTTCCTGCAGAGATCAAAGTGTAGACGAGTTTTGTTCTGTTCAGAGTGGTGAGATTGATTACCAGTAGACAAAGCCATTGAATTGCTACCTCGGCGGCGGCGGACATCACCTCGGACTGACGGTGTAAAGGTAGAAGAAGCTTGACGTTCGTGACGTGGTCGCGTTGTTTGGCAACAGCTTGACTGTCAATCTCGCCGTGATACCCGGAAACGACGCGAAAACTCCCTCCAAAGTAACCGTAAAATCCATTTTTTTTCTGACCATCGCAAACGTGTTTTCGAGGGGTGTCGCAGTCCTCGCAGCTAGTGATGTTCTGGCTTTGGCCTCAGGCCAAAAAGCCATGGCTTTTTGGCTTTGGTACCAAGGCCAAAGCCAAGCCAAAATTTTGGCCTGGCATGGCTTTTGGCCTGGCCTGATCATCTCCCAGGCCAAAGCCGGGCCAAAAAGCCAAAGCTTCTGGACCCTCTCTGTGTGCAGTAACATGGTCGACAAAATCTTGGCAAAAATATGCACATCAAGTCCATAGTGGTCATTTCGCCCATTGCGCCCCCATTCAGAGCTGCGATTAAGTACCATATCACAGATTTGTACTGAAAATGGTCTGTGGAATCCAATTTCGACAGAACAAAAATTTCAACATCCATTCTAGAAGATCTGTTTGCAATGTTAGTTGTTGTTAAAATGCTAATGAAGTGTTTAAAACCTCTCTAACTTTCATAAAGCTTTATCCGAACACTCCACACCTTTGTTCTCGCGCAAATACAAACTTGATGGAAAAGCCATGGCCCAGGCCAAAGCCAGGCCGAGCCAAGCCCAGGCCAAATGATTTGGCCTGGCCTGAGATTTCAGCAAGCCAAAACCACTCAAAGCCAGGCCAAAGCCATGGCTTTCAGGCCAAGCCAAAGCCAGAACATCACTACTCGCAGCAAGTGCTGCTGCCGAGGTTCTTCCACTTATAAATTGGTCCGTGAACCACAGAAAGACAAGCCTCCCATGGCTATTGCGCTTTATTTGCGGCACCACTTGTGGATGGTGAAGACCCGGAAGCACAGAGAGGCTCTGATGTCTATAATGCTTTCCACCCACTTGTTGGCCATTAGCGCGGTATCTTGGGGCACTCCTGGTCACTATGTTGCCCAGAGTGAGGTCTTTAAACCCTCTTGGAGGGAAAGATAGCGGCACATCAAAGTCACGGAGATGGCCAGACACTACCCAATTTGGAAAGATTTTGGCAACTTAGGTGAGTTGGTTGAGTGGTGAGAGATTTGCACCGTATTACACATGTAGAGTACTCTTGATATACCTCCCAGCTGCAATAAATGTCGCTGAACGTGAATGGGGTTGGCTCAGATTTTGCAAGAACCGTTTACCATATGTAAACCGTTTGCGAACTGTTCACCCAGACCCACAAACTAAATGAAAATAAATATGGTTTTAACCATTTTAAACGTTTGCAAACGAAAACTATTAGAGCCTTACTACCTTGCATCATGGCGTCCTCGGTGTCCTCAGAGCGCGCCTTCTCCTCTGTCGGAATCACTATTAGTAAACGTCGTAATCGGTTGAAAGGGGATATTGTTGAGGCCCTACAGTTCCTGAAGTCGTGACTTGTTGTTCCGCGTACCAGAGGCTCTGGTGGATAATGATGAATACCAGGAGCTTGAAACAGAAGTCCATGCCGAGGATGATAGACAGCCGGCCGAGAAACCAGTGGCAGTGGGAGTTGGGATATTTTTGATGACAATGATCCTGATAATTATGAGTTACCCATTACTGGTGGATCTTACTTTCTCTTTTATTTTGAAATGTAGCTTTCCCTTGTACTGTCCTCTTGTTTGTCAGAACATTGTTGAAATGAGAACTCCCTATGTTGAGCCCGGGCCCAAGCCCAAGGCCCCGGGCCTGAAGCCCTGCTCAAGGGCTTGGGCTTGGGCCTGGGGAATCTCAAGCCCGAGCCCGCTCAGGCCGGGCCCAAGCCCGGGGCTTCAGGCCAGGCCGGGCCCGCAACATCACTAATTTTAGGCAACTTGGGCGAAATCCAGAAACTTGAATGATAAGAAATTCGGGCATCTCATAGGAAAACTATACAGGACTAATATCTTTGGGCATGGCATGAGCTAAGATATCGGCCGTCTCTTCCTTCCATTGTGAAAAGTATTCTGCGGCGTCACTATCCTCCCCCATCGCTTTTACCCAGAACTGCTCCTGTTTCAAGACATCCTCGATCAAGACACTGGCCTTGATATCACCAAAAGCCAGGTTCCGAACCAGTGTTTTCGCAAAATCGAGTCCAAGACGCGCCTGAGCCCAGTGTGCAGAATGGGCAAAGTATGTGCCCGTGTGGGATGAGGTTGAAAACGAGATGACGGAATGGATGGTGAAAGGGGGGAGAATAATGCACATGGTTGAATGACATGCAGCACCTGGAGTCTCTCCAGATTATTGAGTGCCGATGGGATCAAAGGCTCTCGTGTGGAGAGGGCTTGGATGATTTATACCCCACCAAGTCGAATTTTTCTCGGTTGCTGGCCAGACCAGCCAGAGTTTCTCACCCTCAACATGAACCAAAATCTGTGAGGTCCCATTCTGCTAATGTTCCAGAACATTATTCCAATAAGACTTATGAATTCTCCCACACTTCAGACAGGCCCAACTCTGACAGCGACTAGTGCACAAACACTCGTTCTTCACGCCCCTTCATCATGTCTGCGAACAAATCCACTGCCGTCCCACTGCTCCAGCCAGCCAACCATTGGCGACTTCTCGTGACCCCCCGCTATCTCGCACCTCCTCCCTTAAATCAGAGGGGACAAAGAGTTCGACCCTACCATAGGTAAATTACACTAGTTTGGTCAGCATTGATCACGAGCTCTGCAGCCGAAACAGATGTTGTATCACGCTGTGCAGTGGTTAAAGGTGGATATTGACCCTTTTTTCAACCGCGTCGAGAGCTCATCCTTCTCCCTTGGTTTGATTAATTTCAGACATTTCCCGAACATCAGCGTGACTTGGTCCTGATGACTCGGTTTGAGGAGTCGGCGGGAAATTTCCATGACAATGAGCGGGATTATGAGTCTACATCTGAATCCTGGCGGGAAGCAATATTAGAACACGGGGTACCTGGTAGTGAAGATGAAGACTCGTCTGGATAACGGTCTTTGATTGCCAAGGAGGAATTTTCATTGGCGAGGAATCAGGGATGCAGAAGAGCGACTGGGAGTGTAGAAGTGAATTGGTGTACATAAATAGTTACCTTGACCGAATATTGTAAGGCATTTTTTCTGGACGTCGGCGGTGCCAGCTAAAAAAAGGCACCACCGCTCTTGGATCTCATAAAGCGTTACATTATAAGGTCGCTAGTCAAGGTCAGAGATGCCTGGGACGAGTACGACGTCTGAGTCGTCTCCGTGCGGCTGAGCTCCTTCCACTGCACACGAAATTTTTTTCTGCCATCCATCCAGCCACCTCCCCGGCCCCGCCGACGATTGGCCTGACTTTTGTCTTATTCGCTTGTCCGAACCCGTCAGACGGGCTCAGTAACAACACCAAATAAACCCGGGGGGAGCTCGCATGGCCCTTTTAGCAGCAGCCCAGAAAGACCAGATAGTTGGTCTGCGGTGAATGCTACATAGCGCAATGTGAATAAACACCACAGGAAAGCGAGGGAGGAAACGGACCGCGGCAGGACAACGCTGTCCCCACGAGGTCCTGGAAAAGGACACGATCTACTGCCTCGGGTTCACGTGCAAGCAGAACCTGAATAGCAGTGATCGTGATGTCGTACAAGATGCCGCTGCCGGTCCAGAGGAGGTGGCAATCACCGTCGGCGGGGATCTTGGAAAGCATACTCGTGAGTAGATAGAACGGTAGACTCGGCGTTTTGACAAAGCGGGGATTCGGGGTGCGTATGAGTGAAATAAGGACCGTCAGCTCAGAATTACACGT